AAGGAAATTAAGAATTTTTTTCAGTAATTGTCTTTTACCTTGGCAGGGGTCTTTAGTTATCTTATCTCTCATAACAGAAAGTACTACTAGTCTTAACTAATGAGAATTTAGCATTTTATGGTCTGCTTTAATATTGGAAACTTCCTATCAGTCTCTACAGGAAATTTTAATCAAAAGTTCTGGCCATTTTGTAGACTATTCCTATACCAAAACCAGCATTTCTGCAAAAAAAGATTTGGATCAATGTGAATGCAGCCAAATTGGTGATATATTGGAAACACATGAAAACCATCTTCCTACACAACACTGGGCTAGTGGACATATGCTGTTCTGAGGGTGATAATGGCGCGAGGTTATATCGAACAATGGCCATAATGGTGCCATGGCGGAGAAGCCATTTGTCATTATTATCTGAAAGAACCTGAAACCAATGACACATCTCATTGCTGAAAGTTTTTTTTTCCTATTCTGTTTTATTGTAAGGATTTTTCAATTGGTCATTTATGTAATTCTTTGTTATGGGAATCTAATACTAATCATCATAATTTAGGAATGGACCACCATAGTATGAAATACAGTACATCATTTTCATATTGTATAATAGCTAGGCCATTGACCTTCAAGTCTGTAAGAAATGTGCCAATAAAGATTAATTCATTGTCCTTAAGTTAATGTTTATTAATGACCTTGGCAATAAAAAAATGTAGTGTTTTTGTTTCATGTTGGGCCATAATAGAATTGGTCAAATGGTTTTGGCACAATATTTTCTACTCTCTTTTTTATTTTTTCACTGGTTTTCCATTTCTAGTTCAGCTGTCTTTATAAGCAGTCAAGTTCAGCAGTTACTTCCAAGGTAATTATCTGCAGCGGGTCTTCTTAGAACACCTTAACTAAGTCAATAATGGTTTTATCTAATGACAGTCTTTAAACATTCAATTAGGCCAGCCTCCCCTGATCTCAGAGCTTAACTGAGTATTCATTATTCAGATCAAACAGCATCACTGCATTGTGGCAGAGTTCTGGTGAGAACATAAACTCATTTAACACTGTAGGGCTGTTTCCTAATCTGCACAAACATATGCATGGAGTTAGTACCATCAGTACCAGAGTATGATCTGAACTGTGCTTGAAGAGGGCCTACCTAGTGTCACCAGCAGGTGTCCAGTCAACAAATAACCACTGGACAGATGGCCAGTCAACAGATAATAAGTCCACTACCATTTGGTTACATGCTTGTGAGCAGGTTCAGTTCAATTCAATGTGTTCTTTTCTCGAAGTCTGCCATGATTTTGACAAGATTACCTGCTAAATTTGCCATAGGTATAGGAACCAACGTGTGTATGTGTGTGTGTGTGTTGGGGGGAGGGGGGGAGTTTGCTTCCTACTTTTTATTATTTTGTCAGTGATAAGCACAGGAAAATGTGGAGGACAAGGAAACTGTCTCCCTCAATTTTTTTTCTGACTGGTTAGCTCCATTCTTCACTGCTAAAAATTTGCTTTCTTCATACCTGTATGCTGCATCACATCAACACATTTCAACATTCATACTGCTAAAACCCATTCCATTTACACATCAAATGGAAATGTTTTCTAACAGATTTGACTCAGCCTATCCCTGGATTTTCTAAAGCTTTTTCATTAACAAAATTATTGTCTGTTAACCTAAATGAAGGCCAGGCACATCAACTCAGCATCCTAATTGCTTAAAAGCATTCCACTATCACTGGGTTAAATGTTTCCAAACTGGTTTCATTTAGTTCTGTTTCCAGAGTAATTTCAATAAAGGTTTAACAGATCTTATGGTGCCCTGACATAACATTTCAATGGTTTCATTGTTAAAAAACATCCCATTACCACACAGTAATATGTTTGCATGCCGTTTCAATTCAATTCTCTGGGTTTTCTAATTTTTCTCTTACCCAGATTTTGCTCTTACCCAATCCTCACATGACTGTTTCTGTTACCCAGTAAAAATCAGAGTTTGACAACTGGACAAAAGCTGTCAATTTTTGAAATATATAAATAAAATTTAATCAAAAATCAAGCCAAAATGACCAAAAACAGACAAACAGATGCTGGAATTTAAGATAAAGAATCCTTCTGGGCCATAAAATAAAAAACAGCAGTCAGTGAGTAAGTGGTTCTCTGATAGAGTGATAGATACAAGAAGGTGTTTATTAGGAAATAACAGCAAACTAAGGTCACAATATCTGAAGAGCAAGAGTTTGGAATTTGGGTTAAAGTGCACTGGAAATGGACCAAAGTTGTGCGACCAGAACTAGGGATGCACATGCCTCAAACACAAAGGCTTCCATTTGATGAAGACAAGATTGCAAGGCAAGAGTAGCAGAGTAATATCCATAACGATAATAAACTTAATATCTACATTAAGGTACCTTTGGTTTTACTCATTTTTTAATTCTATATTTCACTCTTTAATTTGCTATTTTGCAATCTTTTCATCCACTTTCAAAACAAACTCTTAATCTACTTAGAACAATAAAACTAAGTTTTAAAACGTGGCAATCAAATTAGCTCTGTTGGTACCAGGAGATAATGGGATAACAAAGAAGTTCAAGCACCATGGGACAAAACAGCGATTTGAAACCCATCACCAGGGATGTCAGAAATTCAACAAATTGGCAATTTATGTGCTACCAACATGTGCAGGAATTTGGTACCTAGAAGAGCTGCAGCAAGACTGAATGGCCATTATCTTGTAATTCTCTCGACCATCATGTCTAGTGGAACAAACCCTAATGTCCCTACTGCGATACATTCTAGAGGTCTGCGGGGAAAAACAGCCTGTGATATGTACAATATTACCTTACCACAATGCTTCACTTCCTCCTAATACCATTCCTAATGTACTTGTTTGGGAATATTAAACCAGGAGTAAATTGGACCTAAATGACAAACTTCCATAAATAATATGTGGTCAAAAAAGAGCTGATTAATGTCATCATCAGAAATTGCACCAAAAGGGCATTGTCTCTGAGATGAGATAAAACATGTTCTGTGGCTGTTATATGATGTCATAGCTAATAAAATTGCAAGGTAACAATGTTGATGCAGTAATCTTTGTAATTTACCAATTGATCATCTACATTAGTTATTTCGAAAATAAAAAGTTTATTATTAATCTTAAATACACAGGGTGTCTTCAAAATACACATTCTTGGACTGTTCATTATAAATATTATATGTGTTTTGTTTTTGAGAACATTACAATTTTATTTTGCTATTATTCTATTGTTACTTTTGGCTAATTTAACTTTTTGAATTTGTATCTACGTCAATAAACGCCTAAAAAGAAACAAAATATATGAGTAATGGATTACAGTTTTGGGAGAAAAAATCAAAGAGAAAGTAAGTGGTCAAAACTATATGGGTAGACTACAGTGTACTGACTTACTTCACATGCAGGAGTATTGTTCATTGAAGTACAACTTATCAATAATGGTCTAGTCACCTAACATTGCTCAATCAATCTAGTCCTTACTGGTGCCTTGTTAAAAGGAGCAACATCTTGATCAAGATAATCGAATTTGAAGCAGACAATGTTTGATGTGTTCTATATCAACACTCGGACTAAAATCATTACACCCCCCTGAAGCTAGAATGATTAAATTGCCTTTTATAAAGTCAATAGTCTCCACTTTCAACCCACATGGGGCTGTGATGTTCAACAAAACACTTCATTTGAGCCAGCCAATGTAAGAGCCAACAGAGTATACTTTGTGACTTCACTGGGGCCAATTGAACAATTTTGCACTTTTATCTAATACTGAACTGAAAGGCCAGTCTCCAATGAAATAGGGACCACCAAATTGATGTTGCCTATTTAAGGAGCTGTTTGTTTGCGATTAGCTCACCATATAGAGAAGTTTTTATCTCTTTAATTTGCTGTTCCGTCCACAGCCACTACAGTTGAGGAAGTCATATGCTATTAAACTGGCTATGGTTAGCTATTTATAAAAGATTGACTTGCTGAGGTGGTCACACTAAAGAATGGCAACCCATTCTCTAATAGAAACAATGCTTAAAAATTTGTGAGGAGTCAGTGATGGTTACAAAAAAAAGAAAAAAAAAGAACATACTGTCTATCTTAACCTGGGATAAATCAGTACCAGACCACTAAAATAAAGCAATTGTCACTATTAAACATTCACCATTTATAAATGTACATGAATGTTGCAATATTCCCATTTGAGTGGGTGCCAATGATTTATCTGCCGTCAAAGTTAATTTTTCTATCTTAAAGTTAAAACAAACATTTACTAAGTAGCAAAAGTTTCTTGGTGAAACTGACCCCTGAACTGTAGTCTAATTGCACTGTAGTGAGACAGTCAGGGTCAACTACTGCAATTCTATCAACTGACCAGAACATCCAGCACAGAACTTCAATTGCTTTCCAGCAAAGTGTTTCATCAGCTGTATTATGAACTAAAAGTTATAATAATTACTTTTGAAACAAGCTAAAAGCAAATAGTTATATCCACTCCCAACATTTCAGTGTCTAGCAAGACACTTTTATGAGGGAATGAGGCTATGGGTGGTTTCTGCAAGAGGAGTGCCAGAAGCCCAATGGTTGTCAGAAAAAAAAAACATTGTATAGAACTTGATCTGTTTCCAGGCGTCTGGAACTGAATGCCCAGGTGGACAATCAAATGTCAATGTCTTTAAACTTTCATTAAAGCTGATTGAAAACTGTTGGATATAAATCAATATAACTTCATAGCGCCAAAATACCAACTTGCACAACATGTCGTTTGGATCTGTGTGAAGGTTCAAAGTTGAAAACTTTAAAAGATGACAGGACAACTTTGTAACCACAACAATATTTGCTATATTTGATTGCTGAGAATACTAGCAACCCTTTGTCAAGTCTAATCCCTCATCTTTAATTTTGTAGGAGAGAAGGGAGATGAATGTGGTATTAAATTAATTTCAGCAATATAATCAGTATACATGACTTTGTTGCATAAATATCGACTTACTCTTCAGCACACTGGTCTTGGCAATGTTCTGTGGGGAGTAACTACTCCAGAAGATCTGCAATGGTTCCAAGTCTTTCCTCAAGTATTTCCCCTTCCTCTTGGCTAGGGCTGCTCCTTCCTGGAGGAAAAGATAGAATTCCAAAATATTAAGAACTTTTGCTCAAGTTTTTGTTTTTTGTCTGCTTGACCGCCTGTCTGCTTGTCTGTCTGTGTGTCCATTGGTCGGTCGGTCTCACTGTGACAGTATGGGTGCATTCGCAGAGATTTAAATCGATCCAGGGTTCACGCTAAATTGCAGTCAGCCGAGCGCACACCATAGTTAATTACCCCCTTACAGCTTTTAGTAGGCCGGACAGACGCTTAAGCCGGCTAAGCTGACAGTAATCTACCCACAGGGATAGATCGATCTAAAATCTATGGGAATGGGGTCTATGACAGTTGGTAAAATGTATCTGCATGCACTTGCCTTTCCTCTTGTCTCCAACTGTGCCCAACTTTCACAAAATGTGGAAGTATCAGCCCCAGTGAAGAATAAATAAAGTATGTTCAGCCAATGTACAGTGCAGTAACTGGCACTATATTTAATACTGGTAAAAAGGAACCGCTTCCGAAATTTCAGGTGGCTGAAATTCCCATAGCCACAGATGCTCTTTCTTAAGAAGGAAAAACGGGGTTATGAAACTAAATACGGTTAACTGTGCGGGAAATGCTATAGCCAGAAGACAGAGAGACAAAATTTGATAAAATGCAAATTAATAGTACTTAGCAACCCCCTTGAGTGTTTTCCTTACCATGGGGAGAAGATACAGTCACAGTCTTTAATGTAAAGAAGATTACGTATAAATTACTTGAGCTGTTACTTTTCTTTAGGGAAAAATACGGCAGTAGACTTTCATAAGAACACTGATTACTGTGCAATCTTATGGGAAAAGGCATGAGGCATTTCTCAACTAAGCTCGTTTTAGTCTAACTAGATGGTTTTATTGGAAATTAAAATCCAAGTCAGATCTCTGCATTCCTCGGTCGACAAAAAGCCTGTACTAAACACTTTACTGATTTGCGAAGTCAATTATGGATTTAAAAAAAATAATTTTTTGTGGAAAGTTATTCACTTTTCAAATCTTTGCTTCCATTTTTTTTCACCTCTATATTAACTTAAAATAGATATAATTGGTACAATAATCACGAAAGGTGATCCTTGTCTTTTTTTAAATAAAATTAATTTCTGAATAATTTTACCAGGTGGAAATAGTAAACGGTCAGTCAGACAGACAGAGAGACAGACAGACAGGCAGACAGACAGACAGACATAACTGATCACCTGATCTTTGACACTGAATGGAGGTAAAATACTGTTGACAAGTCAAAAAAAAAACAATGACCGACTTTCAGAATGACAAGGAAATGATATCAATTATCATCCACCCCAGAGAACAATACACCACATCAATCAATATGACAAACATATCTTACTAACATGCTTAATGGAAAGAATTCTACTGAGAAATTTAGATTTTGATCGCAAGGTACTTGATTTAAAAGTGCAATGATTGCCTTGCTACAATGCAATGTATTTCAAACAATGCACTATACACTTCTTAATATATAATTATTATAACAAACTCACATGATTTTTAAAGTGGATGGTAGCCTGGTTTCTATTTGGGTTCACAAACACCTTGGACACTGGTCCATACTTCTGGAAGTGACCTCTCAGTGCTTCGCGTTTATTGAAAATTTTCGGCACGTTCTTACACACGATGGCCACTTTGTCCCCAGTATCATCACTGGAACGCCGCCGAGAGCTGACTATTTTCCCTGCTGCTGCTGCTGCTGTGAACAGTAACACCATGGATTAGCAATATCGGAAGCTTTAAACAAAATCAATGGAACTGAACAGTTATGTAACTTACAGATATACATGGTGTTATTCTATTTTCATATTCAAACTGTAAGCGTCTTATGGACACGAAGTACACAAAGAATGAAGTGGTGTGAAGATTTTTTTTTGAGTTCATTATTTTATTGTCATGTTCAAACTTCTAAATAAACTTCAGTTTATAGTGTAAGTGAAAAATTGACAGATATTGATTGTTATTGATACCCTCATAATATTTTTCAAGACTCAAACTTTAAAACTCCTTGGCAAATAAAAAAAATACTGTTCCCATGTGAAACATACATCTGGTAGTACTTAACAGCAATCAATAATTTTTTTATATGACATAATTCTCATGTGAAAACACTACGTTTTTTTTTTTTTTTTTTGAGACAACAAGTGATTGAAACAAGTAAGTTTTGGCACTGATAAAAATGTGTCCTAGATATCAGACATGAAATGAACTTCCATGCAAAATACCTGACAATGTCTGAAATAGAAAACAAATTTTTGCACAATTATGTGAGAGTTATCATGTTTGATTTCCAAAATATTGTCTTTAAAATCCACATGGTCCTGTAATTATGAAACTAAATAATCTGTACACAAATCACCTGCACCAGAAGCCTTCTCTTCCACAATTTCCCCCTCTTCTTGATCAACAGGCTGTCCTTCTACACTTGCAGTTTGCCATGTTTTAATGTCTGAACTGGGAGACTTCTTAACTGCAGTCCCCCTGACCGCTGACAAAGCCTTACCAAACAGACCAGAGGCTGCACCACGAGCACTGCTCACTGTCAAATATAAAAATATAAATATAAATAAATAAATTACTATGATAGTAAAGTGCTTTCCTATGAAACATGATAACTGGATGGAGAGGAACCAAGTTCATGCTGCCTTGACGTTGTTTTAGCCAAATTAAGAAATATTCTCTGACACCGCAACACATCTACCTGTTGAAAAAGACAACCATATATATATATATATATATATATATATATATATATATATATATATATATATATATATTTTTTTTTTTTTTCCAAATAATTTGTGACCCACCCTATTTCTAGTCTTACCCAAAGGTCTTCTTATCAGCTTCCTTTTGCCTTGTTTATTATCATCCGAATCCCCCATCTCACTTGAACCAAACAATGCCCGTTTACTCTGTCCCATATCTTCTGTGTTCTCACTTTCCCGTTTACCAAACAGCACCTTTTTGCTCTCTCCAACCATGGTAGATTTTTCCTCTAAAACATCCACAACTCTGGCCCCTAAAATTGTTGTTACAGATTAAAATATCCAAATACAAGTTAAAAGTGGACATAATTGATTAGATGGCATTTATTCTATAAGTTCTAATGGGTTTTGTGCAGACCAAATATAGCATACATTCTTTATCTGGTCATTTTTCATTCCCTGGCAAATCTAACTCACTCTGGATACCAAATTACTGTAGCCTTCCACATCCTAGTGTAACAGTTTTCAGAAACAAATCATTAAACAATCATATAATATTGGGTCCTACCAGGGGTACAATTTCTTAAAGGCCCATCTCCAAATTCGATGATTTTCTTTAAATATCTAAAATGTAGCCACAGGCTTCTAAAATTTTATGCTATTATTGTACTATTGAATCATTAAGCACTTGTTATATAAATCATGCAAGTTTAACAGTACCTTGTTTACCCATGGTGCTGGGTTCTGTTGTGGAGGGTGCTGGTTTAACCAACTTTCCAAACAACATGGACGTCCTTGGGTCAGTGTCTGGGACATCCAGACTCTGACCTGGAAATATCAAAAACAATATTTTTAAAATATGACAATTCAAACTGTGGCAGTAACCATATGTACATTTTGCAATTTTCAAATGGACTGGCTTTCTCTATTACCTAGAATTATGAAAGGATTTCAAGTTTAACAAATCTTTCATCACGATTTATTTATGTCACAAATCAAGTCAAATCAGTTGAATAACATTTATTTCTTGTTAAATCAATCAGTCTTGTGGTAAATTTAAGTCCACATATTTCTATCCTTCAATGAAAACTGGTGTTTGTAGTTAAACTCTGGTCTTCTGTAGATAAAAAATAAGTTTTGAGTTCTTCCTAGAGATTTTTCTAATCTAATAATTTTCAGTATTAACAAAAGTTTGATCTCTGTCAGAAAAGCAAAGTTTTTAATACCTTTTCTATACAAAGCTTTTCCAGCACCAGCAGATGTCTTAGTGGACATATTGGACTGGCCACCAAACAGGCCAGCAGATGTGGTAGTTGACACAGATTGCTCTCCTTTCTCACCAAACACATTCTTCTGTGCTGCTCCACCAAACACATTCCCACTGGCAGTTCCAAAGACACCAGCATTACCAGATGTGGTCGATGATGTGAAGGGCCCACTTATATTTTGAGAAAACAGAGATGATGATGAGGATGGAGAATTACTTGCAAATATATTTGCTGCTGTTTTAGCTGGTGCTTCATCTCTCCCGAATCTAACTGATTTTGGTATATTGCCAATCCCTGCTGCTGTGTTACTGGAGGCAGGCTTACTTTCAAAGCCAGATTTGGAAGAGCCACCAAATACACCACTGCCTGAAGAAGTCTGCCCAAATAAATCAGCCGTCTTTGGTTTTTCGATACTTGATCCAATTGGTCCAGAACTGAAAAGTGATGAATCGGATGTACCAGATCCAAATGAACCACTCTGCCCTCCAAACTTTGCATCAGTTCCTCCTTTGCTGAATAGATTTGACCCACTGAAGGCAGAAGACTGTGTTGTTACTGCACCAAACCCTGGTCTGCCTTGTCCTGTATTAAATCCCTGTCCAACAGAACCACCAAATACATTGTGACTTGGTCCTTGGCCAAATCCACCTGCAAAGCCAGAATTGCCTCTGGAACTGCCTGTACTACTTCCAGCACTTGAACTGCCTGTGATACTTGTAGCACTGGAACTGCCTGTAAGGCCAAATGCATTTGGACTGCCACTAATACTAGTGCCACTGGGATTTCCACATAAGCTTGTAGCACTGGAACTACCTGGATAAAATCATAGAGAAGAGTAAACTAATTTTAATTGTTTCATTCTGCAAATCCGTGTGTTATTCTGTTGATATTCATGATTTTATGAATCACGTTTGCCATTTTAGTCGACTTTTGAAGAAAAATATTAATTTGTTACATAAAACACTGCTCTTTAAAAAGATTTTCACTAGTTTTCTTTAGTCAAGAGACTAAAGATCACAAAAACTAGTTTGTATCAGCTTACAGATATTTCCTCTAGCTTTCTACCCTATGTTTCTTTCTTTGCTGCATATTTTGGACATAATCTTATATACCACATATATGAATTTATTTTTCATAATATGAAAAAAGACAAGATCTAATAAGAGTATAAAGTACCTGTAATGCCTGTACCACTGGGGCCAGCTGCAAGACCAAACCCTCCACTAAACCCAGAGCCACCAGCACTGCTGAAGGTGTGTGTAGAGCTACTGGAGAAAACAGAGGTCTCTGCTCCACCAAAGCCTGTATTTGCAGACCCACTCCCAAATACACTGGCAAAGCCTGAGCTGCCACTGCCTGGCAGCATTGAAGGTGCACTTCCCTTGAAAGACCCAAATGTGTTGGCAGCTGGTGATGCAGTGGGCTGTCCAAAAAGGCCAGGTGCTCTCCCAAATGATGGCTGCCCAAACGTGGCAGGCTGTTTGCCTGAATTGCCATTGTTACCTCCGAACATTTTTAATGAACATTAACTGTAAGAAAGCACCAAGATCTAGCATAAATTAGTACAGCGAACCTATGTGGCACATTGCTAGCTTCAAACACCACATGGCACGACTGGGTTCAAAAGAGTGTATTGTCTGTTTATTATCAATGTTACTTATTGGTGGATATATCATTTATAAATAGGAAAGTAAAACTGAAAGCTTTTAACGCGTGAGTCGTGTTGAGAATGCACCGACTCAAAACATTTTAAATTTACGTGAACTTGCAGTCATAGGGAAACAAACTGTGCACACGCCAACTTTCACCACCTCACCTTATTTGCAATTCTTGTTTGATACAGGCGGCAATATTTCGAAATTTGCTAATATCAGAGCATTTTCACATTGTGCGTACTTTCGGCAAATTCCCCTTCCGCCAAATCGCTTGTCCGCAGCAAAAGTGGCCCAAGACAGACTTTAATTTGAAAGTGAGTAATGAATTTCAGATGAAACATAGCAAAAACCCAATTTGTCGATGAAAAATTATTTAATGCACGACATGGCAAACAATTCATAATATAAAAGCAAACTGTTCGAATAAAATTGACAAATAAAAACTGTAAACAGGTGGCCTATCTTGTGTTCACCTTCGACCTTTACCTTGAGGACAGGCATGTCGACGAATTTTGTACCTGCAGGGTATGACGATGAAGATGACGATTTTGACGAAGATGGATTCGAGCTAGAATGTGATGATGGCTTGAAAACTTCTGACAGTGGTATAGGGGATACAGGGAAGCATCCTCAGTTCGAAAAGATTCCAAACTCAGTCGAACAAGGGGTTAGAACACAGTTGTTTACATTTCTTAGACGTGCACGTGGGGTCAACGGGCACTGCAGTGAGACAGTGCTTACGTGCAAGTGGTGGGGTGCTCCAGGTCGCAAAATGGAGACAGCATACTTATGCCACTTTTGATATCAGTGGCATTTTATACAAACAAGAGTTAACTGCTGTATATTAGTATTTACAAGCCTGTTGATTGTATTAAATCAGGGGTGAGAATTCCTAACTTTTTGGGAGCCAAAGGTATCATAGGCCTTGTGACCCTCTGGGCCCCATACCATATTATTCTACTTTTTCACTAAATGTCAGTCTCATCCCTGTTATATGTGTTTACAGTACTCAACAGTGTGCCAGGCCATTGAAGTTAAACCTATTTTCATTTATCAATATTTTTCCTAATGAACTATTACAGACTGCAAGATTTGGCTTTGGACCTCCACCAAGTCAACAGAATGGCTTTTCCTTCGGACGTCCAGACCAAGAGTCCAAGACGAGAAGACCAAGGGTTGTTAATGACCAAGGCTTCTGCACCTCACTGGATGACTACAGGAGTTCTGTGATGAGAGGGAATATATGTGCCATTGTAAAATACTTAGATGAAGGTTAGTGTTGGGTACCCAATATTCTGTGCACTGGGTATCAGTCTATAGTATAATTTGGCAAGTTTTATCATTTTCTCTCTGTGTGTGTGTGTGTGTGTGTGTGTGTGTGTGTGTGTGTGTGTGTGTGTGTGTACACACACACACATTGATTTACTTATTGTTTTGTAGGAGTAGATGTGGATACTGTGCTGAAGTCTGGCTGGACTGCTTTAATGTATGCTTCCAACAATGGACATCACAAACTGGTTAAACTATTACTGGAAAGAGGGGCTGACCCCAATTATCAAAGAGGTATGCATAGTATATATATATGTTTATTCATAATAATATCATTCATGGATTTTTATTCTTTTTTTTTTACGCAAGAAAAATATACACACTTGGCATGTTTGCCCCCCCCCCCAAAAAAAAAAAAAAAAGACGGTATAGATCATGTTTCTCCTGCACTCCCCATCTCCCCCAGTGAGCTTTAGTCCCCTTTCTCATGAACTGTTGTGTCTGATCTTTAATGCTGTATTTCACCTGTTTATTGCTGTATCTCTTAAGACAAGAAAGTGGAAAACTGAATTATTAGAACAGTTTATCTTGTTTTTGATATAAACAGTATTACGAAACTGCAAATTAAAGTTGTTGCATTTTAATTTTGCTACTCCAGACCTATACATAACTGCCAGTAAGATGAAATATTGATTTATAATACATATATGTGCTATATTTTAGATGTAAAATTTGGGGATATTTCAGTGTTGTATTAGTGTTCCCCTCCTCCCTCCCCCCCCCCCACCCCCCAGCCCAGACCACCCATGTAGAGCTGCTTAATATATGTATATTACCTGCATGATCATTCTGTTTTAAGTGTTTTTGTCTTTGCTTCTCCAGACCTGTATACTGCCCTCATGTCAGCTTGTTCCTCCAACAGCCAGGAAGATGACATTCTGGCCTGTGTCACATTACTTCTTGAAGCTGGGGCCAATGTCAATTGCCATGACAGGTAGTTGAGAAGAAAATTAAATTTGTTCATATCTGGGCTCTCTTTAGGGTATAAATTTTACTACTAAGATAGTTGGATTATTTGAGTCGAATCCAAAATTTTGAAATATTGAGATGAGTCTTTCAGACTTCAAGAAATTCATGTGTTTGGGTGTTGTATTTATTCCCCCCTCTCCTATATAAAGCACAGAGATGGTAGGAAAAGAAAAATATGGTACTTAGGTGCATTGAGCACTATTTTTTATCAGACCCATTTATTAATGCACACATGAATTTGTGGCTTCACAAGGTTTTAAACATCAGTAAAAGTGATCTAATGGCATGTGAACATTTTTAATTTCAGAAATTTCACCACACCTCTTATCTATGCTGCCAGAGCTGGCCGCTGCAAGGTTGTCAGCAAACTTATTGAGTATTCAGCAGATTTAAATAAACAGGACACCAGGGGATGGACTGTAAGTAGCAAAAGTTCATTTTATGGTATACTGGACACATTTGAATATTTCCTTAAGTGACATTTTTTATGTCTGAATATTCAGCAAAGCTATTTATCTTTCCCAATTCAGACCTTTGAAATAATTATAAAAAGCCTTCAGATATAGATATATTCTTCAGTAATCATGAACAAGTTATAAAATGCCCATGATGATGATGAAATTTGAAATAGAGCAGTCTCAACATTTGTCAGTATTATAAATCTTGGCAGGTGAACTGATAGAAGCATGTTGAACCAGTTATATTAATCTTTGCAGATGAACTGATAGAAGCATGTTGAACCAGTTTTGATAAAGAAAAATAAAATCTACAGTTGCTGATTGTCATTTAAATTTTTTTTCATTTTATAGGCTCTAGTATGGGCAGCAAGCAAAGGACTGACTGCCATGATGACTTTATTGCTAGAGGCAGGAGCTGACCCTAACAAAAAATGTTCAGATGGTCAAAAAGCTGTGGACATAGCCTATAGTCAGGGACATGAACAGGTATGGTCAGTGAGAGTGGATTGAATAAGCAAAGGCAAGAGCATTGACAGAATGTATTTGAGAAGTTTTTTTTTAATTTATGAATTTCAGATTTTTCTAGTAACTTATACAATATAAAGTAGTTCAAATTAAAAAATTTTGATAAATTTTGATTTATTTTAATTAATGGAGTTCAAATTATCTTAAAAGTTATTTATGAATTCTCCCAAATTAACAAAACTTGATTGATCAGTTTTGAATTTCAAAAGCAGTTAAAAAAACTGGCCTAGCAATTGTTATTTTTGTTCTGGGTCCAGTTGTCTACTTGTTATAGGGTTGTAATGTAACTAAGTGGTTGATGTATATTTATGAAAATTGTTTCATTGTCACAGTGAAAGTCATTTCTTTCCAGATAGTCACAATATTGGAAAGAGTGACAGATGATAAAAGTTCTCTCAGCAAATTCATTCCTCCTCCCCAATCCAGTGGCTCTCCTGTGATGAGTAAACCACCAAAGGGCAGCACAAAAGACAATCAGTTAGTTTCTTAATCACTTTTCCTGCTGGTATCTTGTTTAAGTATTGAAACTGCGTTTTCATTGCCTCTAAAGCCATTTGAAATTTTGCACCCAAGAGCATTAAAAATTTTTGTCAGATCTTTCGTATAAAGGAGGCCACCTTAAAACTAAATGGAAACATAGAATAGACATTTTTTTTTTAAGAATTAGTTAGTGTGGTTAGAACATTTTGGATTTTGCAAAATGAACCTTGTCACATATCATGAATTGGTTTGACACCACATTCACACAAGCTCAGTAACTGTTTTAGATTGAAAATTAGACCAAGATACACCGTTAAATGACCATTCCAAAAAAGTATACTTCTTCCTATTAACTAATTGTCTGATCACAGTTTTATAACCCATTTTCTGAACAGGAATAGGCCTTGTCTGAAAGTGCTTTTCTGTAACTTGGAATATTTTTGTCTTGTTTTGTATTAAGGAATTTTTACCAGTATGGTGAGCTAGAGCTATTTCTGTGTGGGCTGGAGCTGGGAAATCTTATCGAACTATTCCAGGAGCAACAGGTCACTTTCACTGACCTACTTAAGATGACTGACAGGAAATTAGAACAGGTACCAGAATTTCTGTACAACCACAGTTTGACTAGATCATTGGTTTAGCCTTTGCTTTGGTCTAGAATAGCTTTAACCTACTATTTAAAATCAAATGTGGAAATTCTATGTGCAAAACCTGGGGGTGTGGATGGGGGTTAATTTACTCCTCAGCACCAAATGTTAGAAAGTCTACACTGAAACTGTAATGTAAAATAATTTTACAAGTAAGTGGCTAGAAATTGCTAAAATGGTTCGTGTTTAATTCATCCACACACTGAGATTACCTGTTATGAAGGTGGCCCAATTGTGTGGAATATTTACAGATTATTCAAAGCTTTGTAAAACTTTTGATAATAAGTGTTTCAAATCACCCCTAAGTATCTGAAACTTTACATTAAACTGTTTATTTATTTTGACATTCAATGGTTGTTTCATTTTTACCTTTATTTTATTTTATTTTATTTTATTTTATTTTTTGTCTTTAAGATTGGAATCAAACAGATGGGAATCAGGAAGAAGATCTTAGATGGAGTCCATGAGGTGCATAAGAAAGACTGGGAGCAGGGCAGTCTACCAACAGTACAGTACAGTAGGCAGCTAAGGTATGGGGTGAAGGTACAATACAATACAATAAATTTTATTTCATGTTGGGTATAAATTGAAAGGAAACATAGCTTTACAGCTATTCGCCGTCTGGGTAAGGACAAAAACATATCTACAACAATGCAATATTTACACATGAAGTCTAGTAAGATAGTAAAAGGAAAATCTTTCTACAAAGTGTTTACAAAAACATATGAAAAACTTTCTACAAAGAGTATACAAAAACACTTGAAATCTACCTTTGAAGGTGGTATAAGGTATGGTCCAGTGTGGTATGAAGGTATGGTCCAGTGTGGTATGAAGGTGGTATAAGGTATGGTCCAGTGTGGTATGAAGGTGGTATAAGGTATGGTCCAATATGGTGTGAAGGTGGTATAAGGTCTGGTCCAATATGGTATGAAGGTGGTATAAGGTATGGTTCAATATGGTGTGAAGGTGGTATAAGGTATGGTTCAATATGGTGTGAAGGTGGTGTAAGGTATGGTCCAGTATGGTATATGATATCTTGTGATTTGTTACAGCATAATATGGTGTGGAATAGAGAGATGTCACATGGCAAAGTGTGCTGTTGTATATGGCAAAGGTACAGTGGCATAATGATATTCTATGGCATGGTGTGCTGTGAATTGTTTTATAAGTGACAGAATTGTGTGGCATACAACATTTTGGTATAATGAGAGAAGAAACGCTGCTGTATGGCAAGGTCAAGTGGTATGAATTGTTGAGGTATAATATGGCATCCATGTTATTATATATAGAGTGGTTTGGTGGTACTTCTCTGTGTGTGTAAAATAAATACTTCTTTTGAATTCAACCCTCTTTTTCCTATTTCTTTGGATAATACTAAATATGTATACATAATTCATGGTGTTATAAAGTTTGCTTCAGACCCACCAGTTGTGCTTTAATCCTGAAGGTTTCATATGGCCATATTTCTGTTACAGTTGTACAGAGGCAGTGGCTGTACTGGCAAACCTCAGCAAGCATGCAGACTACATAGGATGTACAGTGGCTTACATAAAGGAGCAAATCAAAGAAGATCCCAAATTATTACAAGCAGGGCAGGTACAAGTCTCTTAACTATTTAGAATTGCTTGTTGTGTGTTCTTTTTATTATTATTATTATTATTAAGACCATTCTTGGACACTGGTCTGATGAGGACTATGCTTGACTGGAAATCCAGATGCTTTGTTGATAAGGTGACAAAACTGTTTAAATAGGACAAGCTATTGTAGTGCAGTTTCACATTCTTGTAACTTCTAATGAGCAGAGTTTTAGACTCCATATTTTATTAATATAAAACATTGTAAATAATTTGATTCTCGTAATGTCAAACTTATTGTCTTTCAGCAAGGCTATGGCCACCAGGATATGTGCAAACATACAGATAAAGCCATTAGAAATACACAACAACTGTACACAGAACTTAATTTACTCAGGGAAAGTTTAGCAAAGGTAACATATGATATAAAAAATACAGCAGTTGCATGTAGTACATAATGAGTGTATGTTTTCGGCTAAAAAAGCTTATTTCTGAGCGAATCTATGAAAAGATGTACCAGTAAAGCAATGAAATATTTTTCACTTTTTTTTAAGCAAAGTAATAGCAAATCTTGATCTTAAAGTTCAGTAAATTGTGAGATTTGGCAATTTAAAGTATCTTTAGCCAGCGAATTAGCAAAAAGGTAAACAACTTGCTTGCCTTTTCCTTAAATGACAAACCCATCAATATTATATTATAGATATGGCATTATTAAACAACTTGTTTGTTTTCCGGCAGGTAACTGAGAAAGAATACCAGGCTCCTGATCTTATTACAACTCCAAACAGGAAAAGGAAAACAAAACGGCTCAGAAGACTGGCAGTTGGGACATTAATAGTGGGCTCTCTTCTTGGTATATGCTTCTGGAAACGAGACTCTGTTTTAGACTGGATCAGCAATGCACGGGATCAGCTGTGGACACAATAATATAGTATCACCAAGTTTATTGTGTGACTTAGGAACACAATACTTTTCACATTACCTTGATATTAATACATGACTACAGGGCACTCCAAGAGTGTAGACCTTTGCCAAGAAAAAAAGGGAATAAAATGCTTTAAATATACTAGTAGACACAGATTTAGTTGAAATTGATCACTTTTTTCTCTCCTGAATAACTTTTACATCCTGGAAATTTCATAGTTGGAAGGATTTCAGATTGGATTATACTGGTGGTGCTTGTACTGTAAAACATTTTAATATGGATTATTTCAATTCTTTCAGAAAAAAAATGTGATGTTTATGGTTTGCTTATTTAATTATATTTTGCAAAGGGATGCTGCACTGTTATTACTGTGATTAGTTGAAGAAGGATTTATGATGCTTGTATTGTTGATGGATTTCATATGAATGCACAAAAAGATGTTTATGTCATGGGTTTAAATGTAATGCATTTAATTTAAGTAAAATTGAGGGAGAGAAAGGTAAGGAGGGAAATTCACACGCATGCATGCGCATAAAGAAAGTTCAAAATATTCTGCAGTCTGACAGGTTGGCATCGAGGCAAGGTAGGTCCTTATGATCTCATAGTCTTAAAATACGTTATTATCCATTTTAATATAAGTATAATGTTTTCTTTACAATATTCTGAACTCGATAAAAAGAACATGCAAAGCTCTACATACCCTGTGACGAATATAAACAAACAAAAATTTTAAAACTTTGAGACCATGCCAAGCACTTAGTATAATGATAACATAATATCTACAGTGTGAACCTAAAGAAGACCCATTTAATGTTGAGAATGTATTTGTCAGTTGTCATAATCATCTATACCGTATTACGAAATCAATGGGAATAAGTACGTAAAGCTTCAATTATATATAGTTGTCAATTCCCAGCATGACAAATGAATAAAGTGTTTTTAAAGTTGGCATAGGGATACAACTCGCAGCCGCCCAAGCATGCCCTTAAAATTTATAACATTGGTGTAAATGAAGCTATATAATAGCCACATAGAATCTCTGACTTAATTCATCTTCGCGTTCGTTCATCTTGAATACACGTGCTTGGTTGTTTGAAGAATTTCACTTGACGCTAAATTATTATACGGTCTAAACACGAGATGCTTTGCTTGAAAGCAATGTTGATCGTTTTATGTTTACCAAGAGGTATGTATGAACACTGAAATGCCATGGGGGAAAAAGGAATGATATCAGTCAGTGTATAGTTTTCATGGGACATTAATTTTTAAGGTTTCACGCACATTTTGGCTACAGTTAGTGTTTACGTCACGTAGCAAGAGACTTCCTTCTTTATTTTCATTTATTTAATAAGCTAATCAATAAAAATACAGTTAACAGTTAACTTTTTTCTGAATTTAGCCCACTGTTATTTGAAGGCAATTTAACTTCCAGAAAGATTTTATATAAAACTACATTTGCTTACATTTCCAGTTTCTGCCATAAAATTTACCTCGAAATCCTACGATGAAGTCATTGGCATAGCGGATTTAACCGGTGTAACGTCATTTACATTCAACGTGAAAACGTGTGTGCCAGTAATACTTTATCTGTGTACCGTCGCCAGCTATTTCGAATGCGACTACTTGTACAGTTGGGCTCTTGGCAGTGATATAGTTTACCTAAACCGTATGGGGATCTTCGGCTCCATAACACAAAACGCGCCAAATATTCTTGATTGCGGATCATTTGAGGCATTTTGGATTAGTTGGGATGGAGGATACACCCAGTTAGGAAAGGGTCGAGATATTGGAAAGGAAACAATCATGATGTACAGCATGGACCATGATGTCAGATTTGATATAAAAGCTTTAACAGTGAAGGTTTGGGGAAATGCAATCGCAGAATGGGATATCACCCCACCATATCGTGAGTAAATAAAACAAAATGCACGGTTTCTTCAGACACAACGTGTCAGCTGTTCTAATGCTTATACCATCGTTACCCCTTAGGTTGCTAAAAACATGAAATATACTTGACATTTAATATGGAATGTTTTAGAATTCATTTTCTTCGTTTTGTTCCTTATTTATCTGACTGCATAAATGAAAGCAAGGCCATACATCGTGCTTCAATAATTTTAAAGAATCTCTCTGCAGTACGCGTCATTGCGACATCCGTTCTTTAACTGAATTTGCCAATTCGCAAAAAAAAAAAAAGTGGCTGCTTCTGAGTCATGCAACAAAAAAAGAAAGTTATTTGGTTTTCCATGTTTTCTAAATTATAATATGTGAAGTTACACGCGACAAAAAGGACGTTTCTTGTGTATATTGTGTCTGGCAATGCCTGAGTGTTTCTGCCATATTGACGCAGTGCAACAATACTTTGACACACTGCTCCACTCAGTAGATCACGTTTTCAAAATTTCATCTTGTGCAGGCGTTGCCGAAACATAGAAACTTTTTAATATAAATTATTTTTATTAATTATTTCTTATCATTTTTATTATTTAATTAATTAATTTTATTAATTATAATTAATAGTAATTAATATTACAACAAACAGAGTCATACTTCGACCAGCTTAAAAAACATTTCCAAATGAAATCGCCGCAAAATTCGCGATGCAGCACAATGCGCAAATAACCACAACTCACACGTTTAAAGGGATATAACTCCTCGTTTTGGCCAAAAAATTAATTTTCCTGGAGTAAACAACAAATTTCTGGTACTTACCAATGGTTAATGAATTCATTTTTACATTCAAAGTTAGTCCCTGGTTTTTTTCTAAAAAGTTTGGTTTTTTGTTAAAATCTCTTAACAGTTTATAACTGAGTACAGCCATCAATGGAAGTCACGTGATCTAAAGACAAGCTCAGATATCAAAATAATAGCTATTACTGCCGTTTTTGTGGTCAAATACAATATATATTATATTTCTATGGGTTGTTTACAATGTTTATTGTTGTGAAATATAGATATCATACGAAGAGTTATTTTCCCTTTAAATCCTGCTATTTTATTTGAAATATAAGTATTTTATAAAGAAAATATTTTCCATATAAAATGTCAAGTCTGAAGTGCGATTGATCACATCCAACCAGGTTGTATCTTTAACTAAGAAGTCTACATGTGTCATAATGTCTTATCTGCTCAATGCTGTGGAATTTCCACATTTTCATAAGGATTTCCTTTTAGTGGTAGTGCTAAAATTACGTATTACGTGTACGTCTATGGCTGTATTCCCAGAGCTTTTAGATCGATCTATCCCCGCAGGGAGTCTCACTAGATTACTGTCAGATAATCCGGCTTTAATGCCCGTCCCGCCTACTACAAGCTGTAAGGGGGTAATTAACTTTCGTGTCCGCCCGGCTGACAGCTATTTAGCGTGAACCCCCAGGGAGTTAGGTCGATCTAAATAGATCGATCTACTCTCTGGAAATGGCGTCTATGAGAGCATCCACATCGAGAATAGCCGAGCTCTAGTAAGGCCGAGACCTTAATATGACGGACCTTCATGAAAGGAAGGCCGCTTAATCCATTAATGGTCTCTCCGCCTCTCACACGCCTCCCCGCGCGTCGTCCCTGCAGGGCACACTAATTAAATCTCGGTTCGGTCGAGGGACGGCGCGTGGGGAGCCGTGTGAGAGGCGGAGAGACCATTACAGGATTAAGCGGTTTTCTCTTCACGTAGGTCTGTCATATTTAGGTCGCGGCCTTACTAGACCTCGGCTCTTCTCGATGTGAATGCTCTCAGTAACATAAGATATGTTGAGAAGAATCTTCTGGGAGCAAAATACTATATATGTTTTAAATGTTTCAGAGACACGAAGACAAGCCTTCTTTCGCAAGCTTCCATTTTCTGACCGTGAGTTTGAAATACTGGCCAATCTGACCACACAAGGGAAGGGGCACTGTGCTTATGAGTGTCTGAGCAATCTTCGCTGTAACTCATTTAACATTGACCACAGCCCGGATGAAGACACCGGTCACTACCGATGTCAGCTGAAGGCAACCTATTTAGATAATTCACGTCAGCCAGCGAGTGCATCCCTTTTCGATCGCTGGGAAATGGTTTACAACTAACTAAAGCAAGGCCGACTTGACGATGTCACTATATGGCGTAGTATTTCCACGTGGGACTGGCCACAATAAGCTGATTCGGCCCAAAGGCAGATCTAGTTCGATTAACACACATCAGCCAACGACAAAAATCTCTCCCCTTACATTAAATAGAGTGGGTAATATTTTATGTATAGCGCATCCATAAGCATCAATCATATACCAAGTACTGAACACAGGTGCTTTCATTACTTTTTCGCTTGATAGACTAAAGATAAATTTATGAAAACATAGTATGGATGTAGAACTTGTGGAAGTCAAAAATTGTTGTCAACAACATGGCCCCAAGTACTCGGTATGAAATATCTTAATGATATACCGTAACATGTATATCATAAATATGTGTAATTTCTTGCTTATGTACGCGTGTCAAAAATATGATCGAACATGGCCAGTCTGTTGTATTGTATTGTATTAGACCATCTGAAAAATTAATGAAAAAAGTTGCTTATGTAGACCCTATCCTTTTATTCCATCCAATTAATTACAGGTACATAAAAACCATTACGTGATGCAAGTGATGTCACAGCTCGTATCTTACCTCCATGTTGATAAATATTCGTTGAGAAAATTCTTAATCGGGAATATCGCTGTGGTCAGAAGACAATTTCCATCGACTGGTATTCTGTTTCTAAAAGGTACATGTATCTATATACTTTACCTGCTTCAGATGTTGCTGAAGTGCTGTAACAATTCAACATAAAAACGGTGGGGCTAATTTTGTCACCGATATTTATGATTTGTATTTTGATATGTAACTTAAAGTTCAAAACCACTGAATATTCAAAACCCACTGAAGTTAATGCTCTGCTCCGTTGTTGGTTATGGACACAGAAATCTTTAAAGTTTATACTGCAGTCCGTTGTTGAATATGGAGTCAGGTCTCGATGAAGTTTATACTGTGATCCGATGTTAAATATGGAGACAGGAATCGATGAAGTTTATAGGGCCTACTGTGGTCTGTTGCTGAATATGGGTTTCTCCTTGGTGTCCGTATTTTAAGGACGGTATGTCGATCCGACGAACAGTAGGCCTAATAAAAAAGTTTTGGTGAACATGATAGAGTCCACATTGCTCATTGAACAAGAATATTAAATAAATTCAAAATCCAATACAGTAGAGTAGGCTCATAAGTCAAACATTATAATGCATCAATTAAATCGGCATCCTGTAGTGTTTTTTTTTTTTTTTTTTTTTTTACAAATTCTGAACTTTTCAGTTTCATCCTTAAGGACTACGAACACTGATATGCCTTGTGCAACTGCTTTAACAGCCTTCTTTTTAGTGATTTTGTTTCATGGCTTAATTTAGACATACGGTACCAATCTTTATATAATATATGGCACTTCTTGTTCTTAAGTAATTTTAAATTTGCTTTCTTCGTCAAAATTGTTATATGCAAACTTATCTTGGAATTTTTTTCAGGCCTTTTATTGTTTTTCGTCGTTATTTTATTTCAATAAACACTGCATGGATTTATAATTANAAGTTTATACTGCAGTCCGTTGTTGAATATGGAGTCAGGTCTCGATGAAGTTTATACTGTGATCCGATGTTAAATATGGAGACAGGACTCGATGAAGTTTATAGGGCCTACTGTGGTCTGTTGCTGAATATGGGTTTCTCCTTGGTGTCCGTATTTTAAGGACGGTATGTCGATCCGACGAACAGTAGGCCTAATAAAAAAGTTTTGGTGAACATGATAGAGTCCACATTGCTCATTGAACAAGAATATTAAATAAATTCAAAATCCAATACAGTAGAGTAGGCTCATAAGTCAAACATTATAATGCATCAATTAAATCGGCATCCAGTAGTGTTTTTTTTTTTTTTTTTACAAATTCTGAACTT